GTGATGGGAGACGTAAGTCTTGCTTTGCTGTATGATGTGACAGGTGGAGTGGGGGGTGTCTTGGAGGTGGGAACCGATAGGAGGGAGGTTATGAAGCTGGCCTGGGCTCGATGAGATCAAGTTTTAAGGTCGGGAAACGGGGTGTAACTTGGCGGTAATCGATGAGGAGAGAGGAAAGAGGTGTAGGGGAGGGATGGGGGGAGAGTCGGGCTATTCGTAGCTACAGGGGGTAAGGTGAAGGGATAGGCAGGGTGGGTTGTTAGTGTGGTGCGGATTCGAGAACGAGGTCGCGGGTGAGGTAGCTGGTTAGAGAGGGGCGAGGGCGGGGGTGGGCTTGTTGGAGTCGAGCGTGTGGAAGGATTGGGGGGGATGCCGCCTGGATTGGGTGATGGAGGGAGTCTTGGCTGTTCCGACAGGGGTGAGGAGGAGTGTGTCACGATCGGGGTTTGGGGCTGGGGTTGGAATGGGTGACAGAAGCCATGTGGGGGGGGGGGGGGGGGGGGGGGGGAAGGACAGGGGGGGAAGGGGGAGAGGGGGGTAGAATGGTGGAAAAGGCTTCACTTGAGACGCCTGGCTTGGCGTCGTCGAGTTCGTTGTCCGCTGGAGGGTTACGGGTCCCGATGTCTCCTTGAGGTCTTCGAGAGATCTTCCTTGGTGGTGGAGGTGGTTGTGTAGGTTGATCCACTTGAGGGGATTGGCTGCTTGAAGGAAGACGCTGTGTGCTCTCGAGTGAAGCATGCGCTAACCTGCCCACCGACAGCGAAGGCAGGCGATGGCGGCTGGCCGCCCAGATTCAAAAGTTCGAATCGGGGCGAAAGGCGACGTGGAGAATCGGCGGGTGTTGGTTAGCGGGGGCCCGGTCGAGCCAGTGGGTGCGATGACGAGAACCCGTGGGCTCCCGCCCGACGGGTCTGGAGCGGCCGCTAGCGCTAACTAGCGCTGCGTTCCGTAACGCGCTAACCGACGGCGCAAACGTGATTGTAATTTGGTAATCAGGAGAATGGTGAACGGGGTATTCTAATTTAGGAGTCTGTCCCTAAGAGAACTGTCCAATTCTCCCGCAGAAACCCTTCAAACCCAGTGTCAAGGTTCTTAGGGACGTTCGCCTCATTCGCTCTCCATGAAGGACCAATAAATTTTTGAAAGACGTAGAGTTCCCCCGAACACAACGTACAGCAGGGTTGCACCCCCCGACGGTCGGCGGCCCTTGACTGGTCGGCTGCTGACCCACCGACCGATCGGCTGGTCGGCACCTATCGGTCGGGGGTCATCGGCACCCCAGTCCAGAACCCCTAATAACACCACCAACACCCGCTATCGGTCGGGGGTCGTCGGCACCCCGGTCCAGAACCCCTAATAACACCACCAACACCCCCATACCGGCCCCCAATACCCCCATAC